TTGAATTAACGTAGAGAGAGGGATGTTTCACAATATTGTACTTTTGTTAGTTTAAATGCCATGCGTAGGAAAATGACATTGCAACATACTTGAAACATATAATGATTTTTATATTAAGATCAATAGGAAAATGACGTTCCTTGATAGATGTCTTAAAGGATTAATTTCTTATCATATATCATTTACTCGATTTTATTAATCATATAAGGTGCAATTATATACATCATTAAATAATTACATTACAGTAATATATTAGGTTAAATTGCAAATTTGCTCCATAACTTTGGGCAAATGGTATAACATGACAGTAAATTTAAAAATGTAGCATTTTTTGCAATTTTGGATAGCATGTTTTCGTTTTTATTTAATTAAGTGGACATTTTTGTAGTGTCGAAGGTTATGATAATCCTATTTCATTTTGTTATGGTCCCAAAATATGCACATTTTGCAATTTTGTCAACATGTGTTGACACCAATATTAATGTAGAGATTCTCCATTTTGTGTTTGACTTATTAGTAAAGTCTTTGTGATCGGATAACGAGTTTTCTTTTGAGAAGTCTTGCTGTAAATTAGAGGTGGAAGAGTAATTAAAAAAAAAAGTTTTAGAAGAATGGAATATTTAAAAATAAAAAAATAAAAAAATTGTGAACGTAATGAATAAGGTGTATCAATTTTAGAATTGATATAATATGTAAATGATATTATAGTAATTGATAATGATTGATAATTATAACTAGACGATTGAGTGAAGTAATAATTTTTATTGGAATTATATATAACAATAATAGACTTTTATTTTATAATCGTGTTAATGGAATTCTTAAAAAAAAATTGAAATAACGTTTCGTAATTTTTTTTTTTGTTTTCTTTCACAACTTATAAGAATATGATAAATCTTAACCAACAACTTAAACTATGAAAATTTTATATCCAGTAAGTCATCTCAATTGGGTTGGTGCAGCTGAAACATTGTAAATTTTTACTACTTTGACTAAAAGTCTAAAATAGTGGAAAATACTACGGTCCCGTTACGTAACCATTACCGTTATATCATCGTGTAACCGTGAGATAGTTGATCTAATGGTTACAAACCTCGACGGAATAGTTCCGTAACGGAATCGTAAAATCTCCCGTAAGTATTAACAACATTCATTTAAGCAGATCATTATGGTGAGTGCCTCTGCGAATAAGTTGTCAAGGCTAAAAGAGCAAGCGGAAGAGTATGCTGCTCTGATTATGGAAGAGTTAGACCCTGAAAGGCTTGGATACATTGAGGTACCTCTCTTTAATTACTGTTCATTTTATGGCATTCTGAATAGCCCATAATATTCCTCTCTTTTTTTTTTTTCAAATTTTTTAATAATATTTTATTTATGCCTTTTAAGTTTTAGGTTTCATATATTAAGTGAATTGCCGGTAAAGTTGGTGTTGTATTTACTTACTACTATGTGATTTCTAGGTTATGATTGAACTAGAAAATTGACTTAAAAGATATGTTTTGATCATAAGATCATAATAATCTTGACCAAGAATTTATGGGTGAAAAATTTAAAGAAATGTTCGGTTAGTATCTGTTTTTGATTGTTTTTTATTTTTTTTTGGGAAAAATGATGGTGAAAGAAATGTTCGGTTAGTGTCCACTTTAAAAAATAATTTCGAAGCTATAATTTGTGCAATTGTAAATAGTGTCGCTTGGTCCCATTTTACGTACTATATTTGTTGAAAATTGGCACTCCGGTTGGCTGTGGATTTATCGACAACTTACGTGGCCGGATATCAAATTTTTCCATTCCAAAAAAATTCTAAACATTCATAATTATTCACTTGAAAATTTAAATTATATCAAGTCACACCTAGTTAGTATTTTATTATTTTTGTATTATATTAATTTAATATTATATCTTCATTTCACATTGTACATAATCTTAAGAACAATTTATTCTTCATCCGGAATATCTTTATTGTGCACAAGTTTTTCTAAAAGAAATTCATATCAATCTCTACATTACTACATAAATTTGTTACCGAACGTTTAGATAACCAAATTTATAGATTGGTATTGAGAAGTCGGAAGATGGAAATCGGACTTTTATAATAAGATTGGACGAAAGAATACAGTTTTGCTATAGAGTCATTGGGTGGCTCGGCTTATGGAATCATCTATAATTATTAGAATAGTGTATTGACACGTGCCTTAAAATAAATATACTTTGGATATGTGTCAATACATTAAGTGATTGATGATTTCATTAATAAACCACCAAATGGCTCCATAGATTTTTTGTGAAAGAATAATATCCCCCTATATATTAATTCCAAACGCGCTGAACCTACGTAGCTGCTTCTGGTGCTTCGGAATCATATGTGGCAAAATTACATGCTTTGTTATTAGGCTTGAGTAAATTTTAATTTAAATCCAAACAAAAAATAATTAGAATCGGATTACCATAAATATGTTGATTATTCATGGTCATGTTACATGTATTAATTGCATTTTAATACCATTCCTTATTATAACTATTGAATTGTATATATATTTTAAAAGTTAATAATTTTGTACTTTTTATTACATATGTAATATATCAAATTAATCTTCTTTTGATGAGTTTCGATTTAACATCTATATTGTACAAAAAAATAATATATATTTATCTTTATAACAATAATAAAATTATTTTTAGTATTAATTAGAAAAATAAAGTTATTTATCAACTAATATATTTATATTTCAAGTAGTTATATGATATAAGTTATAAAAACTAATATAATATAACACATGTAAGTCATAAGTAACACATATCATTCTAAAATATATAATAATATATTTTTTTTTTGTAAAAAAAGTAAATTAAATTTAATATAGTTTTCTCATTAATTTTAAAATTTAAGAATAATTTTTTAACAAATACACGTGTAAATTAATTTAAGAATAATTTTTTAACAAACACTCGTGTAATACACGGGTGTTGTACTAGTGAGTCTAGTGTAATGTATATACAACAAAATAGTTGGGATAAATGTAAAATCCCGCATCTTAATTAAAATGACACACCAAAAAAAAAGAAAAAAAAAAGACACACCAACCGCAACACTGACTTCTATAAAACAGAGAAATATTGCAACTAAAATTATTATGTTGGTCTTCACTTACCAAACAATCAGTAGTAGTTAGACGAAAATGACCGATCACATCTTTATACTAATATTGGGTTAACGTGTTGAACTAAACACGCAGAATATAATTTTTCTGTGAATAATGGAACTAACATGCATACGCCATACTAATGGGTGTATTCGTTTTGAATTTAATCTGACATTTTGAGATATTTTAAAATTTGAGATTTTCAGATTTTTGAGGAATTCTATGAAATTTAAAGTCTAGAAGTGAACTTTGTAGTGAGATTTCGTAAATTCTAGCAAATCTTAACAAATCATATTCTCAAATAAATAAAATACGTCAAGATTTTATATGACTTTTTAAAATTTCAATTGAATACTCAGGACTTTTAAAAGTATTAAAAAGTCTTAAGTAAATATAGCAGGTCTTATTTTTTTTTTGAAAACCTCAAATGAATACACTCCCTTAATATGCGGCGTTTCAAATGAAAACAATCCCTTAATATGCGGCGTTTAAGCTTGTCATACTTAAGGCTGCAAACGAACCGAGCGTCTTGCGCGCTCAACTCAAAGCTTGGGCCGAGCTCGAGGTTGACCGAAATTGAGTTAAGCTCGAGCAGTTCGAGCATGTTATCATGTCGATCTCGAGCATATATAGGTTTTGGAAGGTCAAGCGGCTCTAGATATATAGTGAATTACTAAAATACCCCTTATATATGCACTTAATAGTAATTTTACTTAAATTTTGAGTCGAACTCGAGCGCGCTCGAGCAATCTTTCGAGCATTTTGATATCAATCGATCTCGAGCTGAGCTCGAGCGATTGTCTTCTTTTGTCGAGTCGTTCTCGAGTGTCATAAATCGAGCTTAAGCAGGTAAAAAAAAATAATCTTACTCAATAAGCTCGACTAGACTCGGTTCGTTTGCAGCCCTAGTCATACCTCATATGCCTCCCCCTTTTTTTTCCATTTTGAATTGATAAGTTGGGCGAGTTAGGTCGATAGAAAAAAGCCTAAAGAAAAAAAAAAGAAATCATTTAACAAGACTTTAGCATTTTATACCTACATATTAAACAATTGTATATTTACGAAGCCAAGGTGGGGACGGCCAGGATGACGAAAACTTGATGAAACAACTTTTGATTCCGGTTCATTTACCATGAAACTGCAATTTATATAACTCACAAATCACATGATAGGTTAACCACTCAGCGCGCGTTTTCTTGTCTAGAAAACTTTATGAAGTTACTTTGAATGCTTAATTTTTTCGGTC